AGGGCAGTTCAAACTTAGTGTAGGACTACTGGATTTATGTTAAGAACCTGAGTTGGCCCATATCTTTTTTTTTCTTTTTTGTACCCCCTTCTGCCGTGCTCCAGGAACAGGGAATAAACTGCCTTTGCAGATTTGTTGAACGAAGGGTACTGTTGCATTAATATTATGTCTGATATTATATGTGAAATCATTTTAGGTGGAAGCTATTAGCCCAACGGCTATCTCCCTAGCTGGTGGGAGTTACTGGGAGCCAAACAGTTGCAAATAAACTAGTTGAACCTGCCAGAGTTTGATGTGTGTTTCCTTCACTGTCCTAGCTGCTGCCCCGCCCCACCTCACCACCCCCTCCCCCACATTCAGTCTTTTTCTTGAAGCTGTGAGATTCAGAAACTGTTCAGCACTGACAGAATCACAGAATTTTACGATTGGAAGGGCCCTTATCAGCCATTTGGGCCTATTCATATGTGAAAAAAATTGCCACTGCACCAGCAAGTGGCCACAAGCTTCAGCCTGAAGACCTCTGACGAAGGGGGAGTACATCACCTCAGGAGTCGAAGGTTTCCTGATATCATCAGTCCTAAACTTGCCCTTTTGTAACTTCTAGCCATTATTCCAAGTTTTGCCACCTGTTGCCAAACAAACTAGTCTAAGCCTTCTTCCACATGACAGTCCTTGAAATACTCAAAGATAGCGATCATGCTCCAAATGAATCCTTTCGGGCTACTCGTCTCCAATTCCATCAACTAATCCTCAAATGGCTCAAAGCCCTTCGCCATCCTCTCTCCAATTTAGGGTCCTTTACAAACTCTGTTGCCCAGAACTGAACATAGTAATTCAGATCTGGGCTGACTGTGTCAGAAGGTGTTGGAATATCCTCTCTTTGTCTCTCTAAGCCGTGACTTTCACAGCAGTCCAAGATTGCATTCGAGTTTTTTTTTTTTTCCGCTGCCATGTCACACTGTCTAGTTACATTAATCTTGTAGTTCACTTGTACAATCTACAGATGTTTTCCCATCATTTTCATTGCTGTCTTTTGTTTTTATGTCACCTGCTGAATTTATTCCTTCTCCCTCACTCAGTAAGCCATCCTGTGTGAATTAAAAAAAAAAGGTGGAGGGACAGTTTAGCAAACAGGCCTGACTGTATGGGCAATATTCCATACTCTTAATCCCCTACCTCGGCAAAAAAAGGAACTCTTTTCAGGAACTCAGCTTGTCTCTGGGGCTAACCTTGGTCATTATTATAAGCACAATGACCATTTTGGGTTTTGTTCTGTTTTATGTGCCGTCTCATATTGTTTGTTTGGTTCACTCTGTATTGTTTCATATATTTTCCCATGCTTCTCTGAAGTGACATTTCTTCTGAACTAGTACTCCATTATACATGTACTACAATTTTTTTATTCCCCAGTTGATTGAGCAACTATTCCAGACCTTTTAGAAACTGTCCAGCTATACCTTCCTTCTTGAAATTCAGCTCCCTACTTTGCAACTGCCTGTCCTAGTGTGGGTAAGGGTGGCATAGACAAGATTTCTTTATTTCTTGCCCTTACATGACATGATGAGGCTTCATGAGTTCCTGATTCCTCCCACTGCCCCACTAAGATCTTGAAAAGAAAGACAGTTTTTACAACTGTTTCACCCCTTTCTTATTCTTACAAGAAAGTCTTACAGCTACAAAGACTCATGAACAAGTCTAAAGGCAAAGTTAGAAGTGGTCCAAGGGAAAAGTTCTAAAGAATTCAACAATCTCTTTGACAAAGCAACATACAATAGATTCTGAAAGGAGTCTTATCGCCCCTGCAATGGTTTTCTGGAGACAGAAGATCTAGGGTTCTCTAGCCCACGTAGCATCCCAGGAATTGCTCAGTAAAGGTCTGATGGAGCTAGCTTCCAAACAGAGCACTAAATGATTGATAAAATGTTCCACCTGGAAGTAGATATGCATCAAAGTGATTCAGCATGTTTACATGTGCATTTTGAAAAAGTTACTGAACTGAAAACAGTAACTAACCCATCAACCAAGTTTGATGTTATTATGTGGTTGTATGTAGTACTCTCCCAGTCAGGAAAGAATTAAGGAAGGTACACTCTCATTCTTTTTCGGTCATTATAATTAGACAACATTTAGTTTTCATTTTTTCTTTTCGTTTACATTATTGATCATTGTGTACATGTTTCTGGTTCTGCTGGCTTCATTTTGCATTGATTCATACAAATCTTTCCACACTTCTCTGTGCTCACATTGTTTTTTTAATTGTTCACTTGTTTCAATTGTGTCCAACTCTTCATGACCCCTTTTGGTGTTTTCTTGGCAAAGGTAGTAGAGCGGTTTGCCATTTCCTTCTGGTCATTTTATAGATAAGGAAACAGGCGAACAGGGTTAAATGACTTGCCTATGGTCACACAGCTAGTGTCTGAGTCAGATTTGAACTCAGGTCTTCCTGACTCCAGGCCCATCACTCTATCCATTGCACCACCTAGAGGCTCATTTGTTTCTTATGGGACAGTAATATTCCATTATAGCCATGTACCACAGATGGTTTTAGCTATTCCTCAATCTTTTTAGTGTTAGTAAAGGATGGGGAAATCATTTTAGCAAAAATAAAACCTTTCTGGCCAACATCTTTAAGTTAGGTGGCTATATAAGACCTTTCCATGCCTGTGTTTATACAGCCCCTCAAACATTTGACTAGTCTCATCTTTCAATCAATCAAACATTTAAGCACCCTTTATGTGCCTGGCATTGTGTGGAGCTGAGTATATGGAAGAAGGTAAAGCACACTGTGCTCTCAAGGAATGTATATTCTGATTGGGGGAAGATGTGTACATATATAAGTAAACGCAGAATTCATTACAAAGCAAATACAAAGTAGGTAGTCAGGGAATTAGAAAAGTCATCGTGTAATTTTGATTTATAAGATTTTCATTTATTAGTAATTTGGAACATTCAGTAGTTATTAATATTTGCAGTTTTTGTGAGAATGGTTTGGCCTCCTTTGACAACTTATCTATTGGGGAATGGATTTTGGCATTACATACTTGTGTTAGCTCCCTCTGTAGCTTGGCCATCAGACCCTTATCAGATGTAGATTCTAACAGAGTGAGTAGTAGACAGGAGTAGTTGTTTTGGTCACAAGGATAGTGAGTGGAACCACAGTGGAAGGGCGCTGACCTTTCTAGCAGTAATAGTACTGATTTGAGTATGGTTGTCTGAGAAAGGTGGTAAGCCAGAAAAGAGTGGATCTGTATATGAGGGCAGCAATAGCAAGATGGCTGGAGTGATGTTGACAGATACGATAAAAGGAGATCTGTTCAGGTTGGGCTGGACAACTAAGACGTTCCTTTCATTGCTGTACAACTTGAAGATGATAGTTACCTGCTCCCATCGTTTTTGTTTCCCTGGAGTAAAGTAAAGCTTATATATGAACTTACCTCTTTAATATTTAAATAACTTTATTAGAGCCAAACTATTTAAATAACTTTTATTTCCATTTCATCCTTTGGTAGATGAGAAAAATACATTACAAAAAACATTATGCAGAGAACAGCGCATGGAGTACACTCTACTAAAACACAATCTATACTCCAGCCAGGGCTGGTAACAGACATTAGGAGAGGAAGCAACAGAGGCCTTGAAAGCCAGATTTCTCCTCCTCAGAATGAGATTTTTCCCTATGTCCCCTGTTCCACAAAACTCATTTTATTCTGGAATACCCAACAAGGTGAAGGTGGGGTTAGAGCAGCATTGAGTGTGGCTGGAGAACCCTTTCTATTCACCTGGAGCAGAAACTTTCTTTCCCTCAATGGAATAGAAAGAAAACAAATAAACAAACGAACATCCCAAATGCAGAGTTAACAGTTTGGACACTACATACCTCCCCCAACGACTTTTCTCCAAAGCCTACATGGGAGGAGTCAATGACCCCTTCCTTCTGCCACCAGATGACTCAAGTCCTAAGTTGCCTGAGGCCAAGAGTCTCACTCAGGTATCCCTAGCCTGGTTCTGGTTCTGTTGCTTCCTTCAATAACTTGCCTATAGGCATAGGCTTATAGCAAGAGTGGCTACCTTGGCCCCTAAGCTGCCTTGCTGACAAGGAGATGCCAGAAGGAGGCTGGTAGCACCTAAACTGGGAAGCCCAAAAGTCTGAGGCTACCATTAGCACGTGGAGTGTTTGTTTAGCACATCCAGATTCTGATAGGAATTATCCCTCCTGACACCAGAGCCCTGGTTCTCAAATCCTATGAGGACTGGACTCCCATTGTCCAGGCTACCTCCTTTTCAATCAGCTCCAATTCTGGACAGTCCTATGAGATATTCTGCTGAGAAACCAACCAAACTACTCCTTCTATACAAACCAAAGCCAGGTCTTTTTTCAACTGACCTAATGGTAGCCAAGAGTAACAGGAAGGTGGGGACCAGAGGGGTTGTTGAAAGTTATCTAGATGCTCTGATCTAGGAGATGTTTTCAGGACACTAGCAGAGGGAGGGACATCAATAACTAAGTAATAGCTGTAGCAGAGCCCACGAGACCAGAAGAGACAAATATACACTTCAGTGACAACGGCCTCTACCTTGTTGTACTCTTCTATTTACCCCTTCACACAACTCTATGAATCAGCCTCCATGCTTCCATTTCCAGGAATTTGAAAATATTCCAACTAAAGGGAAAAAAAAAATCCCAATAGCACTGAAGGTGCCACTGAGTGTATTTCAGCAGGTCAAAAGTGGCTAGGTGGCTCTTTCTTCCAAGGGAAAAAAAAAAGAAAAGATTAAAAATCTGTTTGCTTTAGAAGCCTTTTGGAGACATCACGGCCAAAGGATGGACCTATGGTGAGCTTCAAATCTCCCTCCCCTCCTTGCCAGGGGCATGTGGCCTCCACCTTCTACACCAAAACTCAAGGTGAACACCATGTGTCCCACATCCCACCCCCCACCACACAGTTCAGGGGATGGCATGTGGGAATAAAAATAACAATGAAAGAGTCAAGACCAGCATCTTCAAATTAACAAACTGTAATTGTTTTCCCAAAGATACATTTTTTTTCCATACACATCCATCATACACTGTAACCAAAAAAAGCAGTGTACATGAAATAAGAGAAAATAAATTAAAAATCCATAGCATAGGTAAGGAGGCTGCTCTAGTCTGGAGCACAGCTGAGTTTCCAGCAATATAAGAAGGCTCAAAAGTTTCTTTTATAAGAATGCCTGCTAGCAAGGGTTCCAGCAAGGTGGTTGGTTGGTTTGTAAGTCAGTCTTGAGTATCTGAAACAGTTCTGTGTTTTGTTGTTTTGTTTTTTCCTTAGCGTTTAGAATAGCCATCATTGTCCTGCAATAGGCAGAGCTATCACGTCCAGGAAAAGAGTGAGGGAGGGAACCACAGAGGCAGCGTAAGATCCAAATACAGCATTCAAAGGTAATTGGTCCAGTGGTGCCTGGGGAGGGAGGAGGAAGATACTCCGGGGTTAGCCGTCTTCTTTGGGGGGTGTGTACCAGCCTGTAAACAAAGCATACTGTCAGCAGTACTGTCCCCAAAGGTTAGCCCCACATCTTCAATCTTGGGACTCCTTCTAAGGGAAGGTTTGATCCCTGGAAGGATGTCCCTATAGGGAGGAGATGGGAGATGACAGAATGCAAATCTGGATGATTTCTTCCCTGGACATCATAAAAAAGGAGCCCAATATGGCTCCTTATCTGAGACGGCTGAAGGAGAGACCAGATGTGTTCCTTCAGCTTGTGACAAGGAATGGGGACATGAGGGGGATGGGGGGGAAGTTATAAAGACAGACTATTTCCTGCCCCTCCCCTTCTGAAAGCAGTCATGTGTACTGGGGAAGGCCCTATAGGGCACACCCTTCCCAAGGCTGACCATGTGGGTTGTTATCCCTTCTTCCATGTGCCCCCCCCTCCCCCGACCCTTCTACTCTTACCATTTTTTTCATGGATCTGCACCAGGGACTTGTAGGACTGCTGTGCTCTTGTCAGACTGTATTGAGACTGGAGAACATTGAAAAGATGAAGAGTCAGTTCATGAGATGAGGACCAATTTGTTGCCTTGTTCTCCCATCTCAATTCTATGTTCAATTGAACAAGCACTTACTAAGCTTATACACTGTGCAAAGACAAGCCCTTGCCCTCAAAGGGCCTTCTATTCTCCTAGGGAGCTATAATTATTGACACAAGTAAGCACATTCAAGGACATCTGAGGAGGGGGAGGGTGATAACGAAGGGAAAGAGGGCAATCAGGGAGGGCTCTATACAAGGGTGACCCGAGTTAAACCAAAAGAAAGATGAGGCATCTAAGCTTCAGACTTCATAGGTCCACAGAGTTCTGAGTTGGAAGAGAAGTAATGTAAAAGAAGACAAATGGGTTAAGTTGGACTAGGATTGTGGGGAAGCTTAAGGGTCAAGAGGAGCTTGTGTTTCATCTCAGAGGCAACTGAGTGCACCAACCCTAAGGCTCCTGAACAAGGGAATGACATACTCACACCTATGCCTTGGAAAAACTATTTTCACAGCTCATAGAATGGAGAGGCTGGAATTAGGCAGACCAATTAGGAGGCTACTATAGTAGCTAAGGTAAGAGATGGTGGTGGTCTGAACTAGAGTACTGGCTGGAAAAGGATGCAAGAGACACTGTGGAGGCAAAAAGGGCCACAGGTGGCCGCTGAAGATGAGCTTAGGAGGACTCTACGGTCACAAGGAGAGACTGGAAGGATGGTGGATAATTTTATGGAAATCTGGAGAAGGAACAGGTCTGGGTGGGGAGAAGGGGAAGGAGACAGCGGTTGAATTTTAGACATGTTGAGCCTGCGAACAGGCTCCCCGGATGGAAACATTCAGCAGGCAAACAGCAGTGGAGGACTCAAGGCTGATGACAAAGATGCTGGAGTTACCGGCACAGAGGTGAGAAGAGAGCCCCAAGCAAGCCTGAGGGTACGGTCACACTTAGGGGATAAGGCATGGTGACTGACAGAAGCCAAGGCAGTAGAGTGCAGGGAAAAGAGCACCAGAGGGGCAGCTAGGTGGTGCAGTGGATAGAGCACCAGCTCTGGAGTCGGGAGGACCTGAGTTCAAATCCGACCTCAGACACTTGACACTCACTAGCTGTGTGACTCTGGGCAAGTCACTTAACCCCAAATGGCCCCCCCCCCCCAAAAGAGCACCAGGGCTGGAGTCAGAGGACCTGTGTTTCAGTCCTGGTTCAGCTTCTCCCTATGTGACCTTGGGCAAACCACTCTCTGGGCCTCGGTTTGTCATTTGGAGAGTGAGGCCATCAGACTAGGTGACCTCTAATACTCCTTCTGGTTGTAAAACCATAAACACATCTAGGATAATGGGGGTGATAACAGTCAAAACTGCAGAGGTCAGAGAGGATGAAGACTAAGGAAATAGTATCTTACATCGTATCATGTTTTAGGCTTTGCAAAGTGTTTAAAATAAATTATCTCATCTGATCTTGAGAAAGGCCACTGGGTTCAAGACTAAAGAGATCATTATTAACCTTTGAAAGAATAGTTTGTAGTCTAGTGAGGTTGGAAGACAGATTACAAGAGGTGGAAATGTGAGTGGGTGGAAAGGATTTAGAAGCAAAGAGGGCAGGAACCTTTTTTGGAAGGGTTTGGCAGTGAAAAAGAAGAGATAAGGGTTTGGGGGAATGGAAGGGTTGAGAAATTGTTTTAAGACCTGAGGTCTGAGACTGAAGTAGGCAGTGGGGAAGAAACCAGTTACTGGGAGAAAATTAAAATGAAGAGAAGTGATGATCAATGGGGCAAGCTCCTGGAAGAGATAGGAGGCAATGGGATCAAGAATGTAAGTAGAAGGATTATTCTTAGCAAAAACTATTTTCTTTTTTTGGTGAGACATTGGGGTTAAGTGACTTGCCCAGGGTCACACAGCTACTAAGTATCAAGTCTCTGAGACCAGATATGAACTCAGGTCCTCCTGACTCCAAGGCTGGAGCTCTATCCTCTATGTCACCTAACTGCCCCAGAAGGGCCTTTTTTAACAGATTGGGAACAAAAGAGGTAAGGATGAGTGAAGATACTGAGTGATTCTGAGGGAATGAGAAGCTAAAGGAGATCATGAAAAAGGGCCGTGACTTTCTTAGTAAAGGAGGAGCAGAAGTCACCTGCTGAGAAACTGGGAGTTGGGGTGGTAGCAGTGGCTTCAGAGGAAGTAAGATTTGAAACTACCACTGCAGGAATGTAAAGGTTACTTTGAGAAGAATTAAAAGATTTCTGCACAGCAGTGAGAGCCCTATTGAGATTGGATTTAGTAGCAGACCCAGGATACGTGATAGTATGACTTGTTCCAGCAGCTCTGAGGACAAGAGCTTCAGGAATACAAATGGAGAAGGCTACTGCCTGCCTATCTGGCTCCTAGCTTCTTATTCTACCCAATAACCCAAAGTATAAAGCAAACAAGCCATCAATATGCATTTACACTTGCTATATGCCAGGTACTGTACTAAGGAGCGGGGACAGATGGTTATCTGGTTGGCTGTAAGACACTATACTCTTCTTTCTACATTCTTTAACAGTATTCAACCTCTTTTTCCTTCTTAATTCTTAAGGCCACCACTTTGGCTCCCCAGTGCGGATATCTCAGGGCTCCCCTTTCCCTCCCAACTAACACTATGGACAATGACGGCTTCTACCCTCCTTGGGCCTAAAGAGAAGACCAGTGGAGGTGTTCTGCCAGCTGGCACCACACCCTTTCTCTGCCTGCCTCCCCGACACCTCTCCACACCTACCCCTACCCTGTCCTTACTTTGTTGGCTCCAAACTGTACTCGTGCTTTCCCTTTCACCAGGGTGGCACTGATCTGCATGATCACGGACTCTATGGAGTAGGCACTGCTCCAGCCCTGTGAAAAGAACGGGGAAGGGGAGGGGGAAATGATAGAACAGGTCAAGACATGGATTCCTCCAGTCTTGGGGACAATAAGACATCACAAATGAGTTCCCCAGACTTCACCCACAATACAGGCATTCCCAAACCATCCAGGAAGGGTGGGCACCGGGTGCTATCCTTGCCATCTATGACAGTGATAACTTATAAAAACTCCACCTGGGGATGTATTTGGGAAAATCCCCAGCCCAATGCAGCTGAGACAAGGCAACAAGCTCACCTGTTTGGTGAGAAGTTCCATGCAAATGGCACCTCCACCCAGGACATACCTGCAGAGGAAAAGACTGGTCAACTGTGCATGGCACAGGCTCTATCCCCACCTTTCCACAGGGCATCTCTTGTTTTTCCATCTACTCACCCTCCTGAGAGGACTGGAGAGACAACCCTGACAAATGGCGGGTCAAAGGGAAAGTTGTCCTAAGAGGAAGAGAAACCCAAGTCAGAAACCCAAGCGTGAGTAGTTAATCTATCAATTAACGAGCATCCATTAAGTGGCTACTGTGTGCCAAACATGGTCACCCCATCCCACCTCACCTCCCCACAGAGAATATAGGGTAGACAAGCAGAGATACAGGCCAGGAAAATGGGGGATGTGAAATGAGAACAGCCTTACTTTAAAAGAAAAGTTGAGGAGAATGAAGTCAGCCCCTTCTTTCTCTTTGAGGATCTGGAGATCGTTGTGCAAAGCGCTGTCCTGGTCAACCCTACAAAGGAGGGTAACAGGCTCTTGCTTGGTCCCCAAGAGCTTCAGAAGGCCTCCAGCCCACCACCATGCCCAATCTAGGGCTCAAGCTAGCATTGACTTGATGTCAATTCCAGGCCACAGACAACTTTGTTCCCTGTCCTGGCCTTCCCCCTCCCTAAGCCCCTGGGCTCTGCTGATGACAATTAAATAAGGCTGCTCTGGAGGCTTCTACTAATCGCCACCCCTCTGCTCCCCAGCCCCCAGCTTTTCACTTACTTGAGGAGTTTGACGTTCCAATCGTACAGGCTATCATTTACTAGTTCGACTGCATAGTTTCCTGGGGGTTGGGGGTAGGACAGGAAGAAGAAATGAGTATTACTAGGACAACAGGAAGGAGGACCCTTCCCCTCCTCAGGCTAAAAGACCAAAGCAAAGTGGTAAGGGCTCAGCACTGGTCTAACATCCTCACTCACTTCTAGGGGCTCTATCTTCAGGTCCTAAGCTTCACAAAAACCTAGGTTCCCACTGAGTAGCTTCAGGACCCCCCCACCCCAGCACTAAAGCCCCTGCTTCCCACCCCTTCTTCCTCAATAACCAATGTTCCAAAGTACCCCCTCTCCAAAGCTGGACTTACCGCCTTTGAAACTTTGTGATCTGTAAATATCCCTGAGCTCCTTCATCAGCCGGTCAGTGGCCTGCACCGAGCCAGACACTGCGCCCTGCAGGGGAGGGGACAATAGGAACCTCCCACCATTACAGGACTCAGGGGATACACCGTGGACTTTAGAGGATACCTGGCAATTGCCTAAGGATGGAAGCACTAATTCTTTCCTCCTACATTTCAAGAGTCAATATCCCATTCTAGGCCTTCTAAGCCTGGCACAGCCATGATGACAATACCAGTGGGAGAAACCCACCCTGATCCAGGACCCTTGCCCACCCCCCGCCCCCAGGGGACACGTACATTTAAGTAATCTTGCCTCTGGTTCTTTTTAATTTTCTCTAATATGGCCAAGTTCTCCTTCCCAATGCCATCATCCTCGGACCTTTTCCCCTCAGCTGGCTCTTCTTCTTTCATTTCATAGTGATCGAGGTCCTCTGTATCCTTGAGAAACGGAACAAACAAAAGAATTCTTTTGGTGGGGGGAAGGGAGCAGTCAGCCATCTCCCCAGCCCCATATGCAGTGAAGATGTGAGCTAGGCAGCCAATAGCCCACAGACTAAACTCCACGTTCAAGCCATCTGATCCCCCTGACTCTTTACTATCCTAAAGGGGATGTGTCCCTCTTTTCACCAAGTTCATATAAAGCATGGCTCAAGTGAGCATTTGATAGACCTGAAAAAACTGCAACAAAAGCCAGAGACTCATTTCCCTGACCTTTCTCTTTCCTCTATGATGAGGACCAAACAAGAGGGGATTTGGATTCCCCGCTATTACCCATCTGTATGGTTTTGTCTTCCCCAAGATTGACATGCAAGCTAAACATTTTACTTGGTAAACTCTTACCAGGCTGGTGGGTGGGTTGGGGGAAAAGAGAACAGGCTTCAGATCCTCCCATTCTCCCCACTCCACCCAGCAGACTCCATAACAACATAATGATTTGGTTTGGTCCCAACCCATGCTTTCATCAGTCAGTGTGATGCAGCACACAGAGGATCAGCAAGACTTAGGTTCCCAAGTCCCACTTCTGACACATACTGGCCATGTGACCATGGGCAAGTCATTTAATCTTGCTGCCAACTTCGTGTAAAGATCAAAAGTAACATACGATTACCCATCTGAATCACAGGTCTGGACCAAAACACCATGACAATGACTGATATTTATACGGTGTCTTAAGAGTGTCATATAATCCTCACAGCCCTCCATCAGCTTGACTGACCCTACCACCCAAGAGGAGTAGACAGAGGCCATCTCGTGCCTTGTTTATTCTTGCATTTTTAGCACTTAATATAGTGCCTTGCATAGAATAGGCATTTAATAAAAAAGTTTGAGATGAATTTTGAGTTATTAACCTACCTAATACTTACAGACTCAAGGTACTGTAATTGGGGAAGGGCAGAGAACCTAGGACATGAATCCACCCCTAAGAAGCAGTTGTGAGTCCCTTTTCCCTTAAGTCCAGTTTGACTTTCCCCTCTATTGGCCTGATATTCCAGCCAAGGACCATATGCCCTGATTAACCTTGTCCAACTCCAACCACACCAATACTCAGGTATTCAGCTGGAACTAGATTTACCATTGGATGCTGTGCTGTTTCTTGAGAGTCTTCAGTTACTTCACATTCATGTGTCTCAGTCCTCCCCCGCCCCCAATGAATGACCCCACCTTTTTTCCTTTGGTGTCCTCTCTACAGGACTCTATAAACAGGAGTGTCCCATACAGATGACCTTTAACTTACCAAAATTACTGTTACCACCCACCCCTCCTAACCCAGTTCTGTCACCTACCTCAGGCATCTCTTCATCTTCATCTTCTGAAGAAACATCTTCTTGTGTGCACTGCAGTGCATAGGGAAAAGATGGAGGTCAGAGCCAATGTTCCAAGAGTAGAAGGACTGGGTTCCCTAAACACATCCTCTCCTCTGACTACTCGGAATGCTCAGGGCTGGGATTCTAAAACTGCCAGCCTAGACATTCACCCAGTCTACAGTGTGCTGGAACAACTAATTTACCAGCCTGCTCATTACTCTTGATCATCTCTTTATCATTCATGGAGCAAGGAACTACAATTCAATTTCCCAAAGAATAGTATTTATTTACTTTGGCCTCCCTGACTGATGCTACACCTGTGATCCTGTAGAAGTTTAGGTCTCTAGCTTCCCCTAACCCTAGGAAACCCCCATGTGGAGGGCATCCCTAGATAAGTGAGCCACACTCCTATCTATCTTAGGGTTATGACTGAGATGGGAATAGAATAGACTTGCCAGAGGGAAAAAAGCCCCCTGAGTTACTCACCTGCTCTGCTGGCAGGGGCTGGTCCAGCATCTCAACATCTGGATGCTGAGGGAGGTTGTACAGTTTGCACAAATCAGAGATGATCCTCTTCAGATGCTGCAACAGCTGGGGACAGTAGACCACAGTGACATAAGATACTCTTGCCTCTCCCCAATCTGGCCAGGTGCAGTGGGAGAAACCAAGGACTCAGACCCAAGATGAAGGCTGAGTAGTATCCATTTCTCCAAGGGACATGGACCCTGGGTCATATTGGAAACCTGGCCATGGGAGTGATTCTGTTAGAAAGCCCCAGCATGGGGCTGATGACGTATTCTCCCTCTAGCTAGGGGAAGGTGGCTTCCCTACTGAGTCTTATTCAGGCCTGTTATTTTACAGTGTCGTCTAAATTTAGGACAATTCCCACCCTTCATCTGTCTCGACTGCAGGTTCTCTTCTTGGCTCAGGCCCCAAGTCCCTGCCCTCCTCACCAGAGTATTCCCTTTCTTTATGTCCACAAGTCTCTCCAGAACGGCAGCCAAGTTAGGGTCATCAGACTCCACAGACCAGATTGGGGGCACCGCAGGATAAGATTCCTAAGGGGAGAGGACAGGGAGGTCAAAAATGGAAACTTCAGATTCTGCCTGCCCACCCATTCCCAGGTGCCAGTCTGCCCTTCCCCCCCCATCTCTCTCACAAATGCCTGGCTCAGCAGATCAGTGCCCAACCAGGCGGATTTGGGAGGGCCCTTCTCTGAATGGAAGCTTGAAGACCAGAGCCCCTTTTCCTCTATTCCCGGTCACTGAAAAATTAAGGAAGGGGATCACAACTACTTCCAGTGAGACCCCAGAAACTGTTCTATTCCCTACACAGAGGTCTAGGCTAAGGCAATCCCCCTATATTTATAGAACAAGACTCCAGTCCCCTTTCCTCCCAAAACGATGGAACCCAGAGTTATGGAAGGACCATAAATACAATCAGAACAGAAAAAAGCAACAGCTTACTTTAGTTTTAGGAGGGGGAAGACTTGCAACAAATAAGGTTTTTATCTGGGGCCAAATTATTATTCCCAGCATTCAGCCAAAGGGTGATAGAATAAAGCGGTAGTATAAGGGAACCCCTCTTTCCAACACTGACTGGAGACCAGTTTTGCCCATCTTTTCTCTGGTAACCCTGTTAACCTGCCACCCTCACAGTCTAAGCGTGGGATGGAGGCAAGAGGTCACAGGGCTCTACACAACTGATTTAGGAGAAGAGAACCTACGCTGCTGACATTCCCAGCATTCCTAAACCACAACAGTGGATGCAGACAGCCCAAGTTCCCCCTATTTCCCAGAGAGGGGTTGGTTGAGAATCCAGACTCCTTTCTCCCTTATCCCACAGAAAGGGGAAGACTACCTGGGGCTCTCTGGAGCTAACCTACTGCCTCAGACATAGGCAGGACAGACAGCATATAACTGAACACAAAAAAGAAGCATGGGGAGGGTAATTCTATATCTGAGAAATTTGGGGTTTAATCTAGCAATAGTCAGTTAGGCAACACAATACCAAGTAAATCACGCACTTTTGATGGGATTCCCATCCCTTACCTAGCTCAAACGCCTCAATTTTGGAGGAAGATTGTCAGAGAGATACTATTATCACATCTGACTAAACCACTTTTTTCTCCTTACCCCAATTTTCTGTGAAGAAGAGGTGTGTCTGAAGGCAAAGTCAGAAGATGGAAGAAGAGGGGAATCCCTTTTGTCCAAACAGAAACTTTCCTCCCAGAACTTTGGCCTAGTAGGTAAAATGTGCTTTGGAAGCTGGCTGGGGACAATGTCCAAGCTGATCTGAAGTTGGATCTCATCCCCTCAGTGCTCCCAAACAAAACTATCTGCTCACTCTAGGCTGCACCCACCAGCATCCAGCCTGAATTAGCAAAGATTTCACCTCCCTGGCCTGTGAGGGGGGCAAAACACTGATAGAAGGCTAGGTAATCTCAAACATGTTAAAGTACAGTGACCATGTGGAATGGGAAATTATCAAAGCTATTAGTGACTAGGAAAGGAGGGAACAGACAGATATCCTGGGAATGGGGCAAGAAGTAGGCCATTGGGAGAAAAGAACAAGTTCGTTTGGGGTGGCAGAGTTAACTGTGAGATTTCTATAACCAGACTGAATTACTAAGATGGATGTAACAATACTACAGTAGATAAGACAAGATGACTGGGGTGGAATAGGGAAGTTCATCATCAAAAGGGGTAGAAAATGCAACTGTACCCTCATATCCTTGGGGAGTAAAGGAAGCTTCAAATCTCCCACTAACAGGGGCAGGAAGAGATTAACTAGAGGTTGTACCAGAAGATGTGTGTGGGGGTGGGGTGGAGGGGTGTGGATTGAAGGCTCAACGAACTGAGGGTCTCTGAAAGCCCTGGCTTGGAAGAAGTCAAGAGTCCAAAGAGATGCTGCTATTCGAGGGTTCTGTGCTCAACTTTAAAGTGCTACAGAAAAGTCAGTAATTGTTATTATCATCATCACTGACTCCCCACAGCACCTAAGCCTAGATTCCCGAAGGAGTTGCTGAGAAGGGGAGAGGGGAGTGTCTCAGAAGCGTGCAAGAAGTGCCTCTGGTATTTGGGGGGAGACTGAAGAAGGGATAGTTCCAGAAATTGGGAGGGGGGGTCTTCTTGCAGTGTTTCTCGAGGGGTCTAGGTTCTTAGGAGGCGGCCCCAAGTGATGGAGGAGGCAGTGGGGTGGGACTTTGGGGAGGGCTAAGGAGAGGACCACGTCGGATTCCCGGGTAGCAAATTGAGTGGGCTGTGACAAGGAGCAGGGAGACCCCACGTGGGGGCGCCCCACCGGTGGGGGCGGCTCTTGGGCCTGGCGGGGGCCCAGAGGACGAGGACCCCGGGAAGGGGGAGGGGGGCCGGGCCCGCCCCACGGGGGTCCTCACCGTGATGTTGCAGTGGATGCGGACGGGCTCCCCGGGCGCGGAGCCCCGCGGGGGGAGGTGCGGCCCGGGCGCCGCCCCCGCCGCCCCGGCCCCGGCCCCGGCCCCGGCCCCGGCCAGCAGGAACTCGCAGCTCAGCTCGTCCAGGCAGGCGCTGGCAATGCGGAAGCGCTCGTGGCCGCGATGGAAGATGGACTCGAGCAGCTTCAGCTCCCGCCTCAGGCAGGGCCCCGGGCCCGGGCCCCCCCCAGGGCCGCCCCCGGCCCCCGGCGCCGCCCCCTGCCCCTGCCCCAGCGCCAGCCCCTGCCCCAGCGCCCCTAGCTGCTGCCCCGGCCCCGGCTGCTGCTGCTGCCCCTGCGGCTGCGGCTGCTGCATCGTCCGCTCCGCTCCGGGGCCGGCGGGCCGGGCGCCTCCGGCCTCCGCTCCGGGCTCCGCCGCCGCCGCCGCCGCCGCCGCGGTCCGCACTTCCTGATCCCCCCTTCGCCAAGATGGCGCCGCCGCCACCTCCGGGACAGGCCCCCCCATCCCCCCCTCCCGCCGCCGGAAGCCGCGTGCCCCGCCTCCTCTGGTCCTCCTCCCCGCCCCCCGTTCGCCTCTCCCCTGTCACATGACCAGGTGCGTTCACCCGGCCCCTCTCACGTGATTCCTGTCGCAGCATCTACCTCCGCCTCCTTCTCCTCCTGGATCCCCTTTCCTGCCACCCCACCCCCTGCATGTGACCAGACGGGGCTTTTCCGGGCCACGCATTCGGTCCAGATCCTCGACCTCCCCTGTCACGTGACCGAGCCGCCGCGTGCTCACTGGGGGCGGCGTGCGCGAGGCTCTCTTGCCCCCGCTCCCCTTCCCCCACCTTCAGCCTTGTCCTTCCTCTGCCCCGCAGCGACTCGATTGCTGGGCTGGGCGCAGTCTGGGGCTGTAATCGCGGCTTGCGATTCTTTACTTTCCATGTCCCCAACCCCCTTCCCGTTCTTCTCCCCATCCCTCCCCCTGCCCTTCTGGTGGCAGCCATTTGGATCTCGACCTCTTTGCATCGGACTTACACTCCTCTCCCTCCCCACCAGGGCTTAGAACGCCCCCCCACCCAGCCTTCTGCCTCCACCTCAATTCTAGTCCCTATGGAGTTTATTTTTGAAGGGATTGGGGAGGGGAGAAGGGGCAGGAACTTTGTTTTTCTTATGGTTGCCGAAGGCCAGGGGATGCTGACCTTCTTCTCCAACCCAGCGTGTGCAAGAAGGTGGAAGGCATCAGACCCAAGAATCACCCATCCACATCACATCCCCTGACCTGAGGTCAGGTGGCAAACGCCATCAGGTCCTCAAGAGGCATACTAGTCCTCTAGGAGGGCTGTGATTAGGTGGCAGCATCACCGGCCATTCACTAGGTGTCGCCATTGCGAAAGACAAAGCTCGTGGCTGGGCCGCGGTGAAACGACAGCAGGTGGCGGTGAAACGACAGCAGGTGGCCCCGAAGCAGCGGGGAAAGACCGTTCTGATTGGTGGAATAAGCCTAGCGATTGTCCTAGGGCTTCTCCTTTGGGGGGCTAGACCGGGCCCTGGCACATTGCACAGTGCCTAGCACATAGTAATCAATGCGTGCGGAATGAAGGTAGACACCCGAACTAAATCCCTGCCCCCACCCATCCTTCCCTACAGGACTGCCTATTAAATTAAATTCGACACACACTAATTAAGAGCCTACTACGTGCCAGGCACAGTTCTCGGAGCTGGTGATACAAAGACACACACTCACACAAAAATGCCTGCCATCAAGGAGCTTAAATTTTACTGTAGGTAAACAATACATATGTAAAAGCAAAATTATTCGAAGTAAATACAAAGAAATGAGGAGAGGAATAGTATTAACAATTTAGTACTTTCGTCTTCATGCCAGCATGGTGCAGGGGACAGTGATTTGGAATGGGGGTGGGATGGGGAGGGTAGGTGGGAGAAAGACAGAGAGATTAAATTCTTGTCAATTGAAGAAAAAAACTTTAAAGAAAAAAATAGAATTGGACTGGGTGTGAGGAAACGAGACTTAGTCCTGGGTCTATGACTATATTCCTGTGTGACTGACTGAGTAAGTCACTTCAGGTCTCAATTTCCTCATCTATAAAATGAGGTGACTTATTAGAAACTATGAAACTGAACATTAAGCACCTACTGTGTATAAGGTGCTCCATGCAAAGATGAAAAAGTGCCAGCCCTCAAGAAACTTACGATCTGCTAAGGAGGTGAGACTTGATAGTGTGATATAAGGGGAAAAAAAAACAAACAACTGGAAAGACATAGGAGAAAAGGAGTGAGAAAGTACAGGTACGAGAAGCAAAAAGGTAAACAGTTCACATTTTGACTCATAAATTAAAGTGTTGCAAGTAAAATAACATATATTTAAAAGTTTGCAAAACCTTTCTTGTGCACTATCTAATCTTCACAACAATCCTGTAAATTAGGTATTGTTAAATAACCCCAAATTTACAGGGGAGAAAAATGAAGCATAGAGATTTGCCTGGAGTTATATAGCTGTTTTTAGTTGGCAGAGACAGGCTTTAAATTTGGGGCTCTTGGAATTCAGGTGCAGCATTCTCATCAAACCACACTGCACTGCCTCTGGTCATTTTGATTTAAGGGGACTGCTTTCACTTTCAGCTAACCCTCTTTTCCATCTCTGTGCCCAGAATGCTCATGCCTCTGAATCATTATCCACTTGTACTTGCCCATCTTCTCTCTTTGCCTGGAAAGAGAGCAGGAAAGAGTAGAGATTTGGGAGATGAGGAGGAGGGATTTGTTGAAGGAAAGGTCTCACTTCCTCTCATGACAGAGCTGAGAAATGAGATCTAGAAAGAAAAGGCAAACAATCTGGGATAACTTTGTCCTGGAGAAGAGAAAGCTGAGAGATAACTGGAATAACTACCATCAAAGGGCTTGAGTCAGCACCCATCTGCAAGTTACTCAGGACTAGGTATTTCCATGGTATTGTTGAGGCCCACTTCCCAATGTGGGGATTCAGTTTAAGATAGAAACATTTTTGACTCAGTTATGCCAAGACTCTCCCGGCTCCCTCCTTCTCTTGACCAGCCACTTTACCTTCCTCCCTCTCCCAATCAGGTTTCCTCCTTTTCCCCCAGCCTCCTCCCCTATATATGTTACCTTCCTCCATGAAAACGTAAGCTGGTTGAGGATAGGGACTGTTTTGTTTGCTTTTATTCACATCCCCAGTATGTACCATACAGTAGGCACTCAATAAATGCTCTATCATCTATCTGTCATCTATCTAACAAACCCATGTGACAAACAAAACTTTGAACAATGACCTTAAATAAACATATGCCTCCTTATTTACTCAAAACAAATGAAAGTAGCATCTCATGGTTTTTAGTAAAAAGAGTTCATTACATGAGGAATGTAATTATTTTAGGATCTCATAACCCCAGGCCATAAGAAGATAAGTTTAAGGGAATGAGTATGTTTAGTTTGGGGAAATGATGAGAGGTTAGGGTAGGAAGCATTATAATTTTCTTAATATTTGAAAAGTTATAATGTGGAATAGAGGTTAGTCTTGTTCTAGCCAGATGACAAGCCTAGGAGTAATGAGTACAAGTCACAGGGACTCATATTTCTGCTGTCTGTGAGGAAAATCTTAGCAATTAAAGCTAGTGCCAAAGTAGAATGTATTGCCCCAGGATGTCATCAGTTCCCTGTCACTGGAGATTTTCAAGTAGAGGTTTGATTACCATTTGTTAGGATGGTATAGAGAGAATTCCTGCTTATATTTACAGATTGAACAAAATGACCTCTGGAATCCCTTTCCGCTCTCAGATTGTATAGTTCTGTGATTCCAATCAGGAACTTCATTCTTTCTGTTGTAACAAACTTGAGGTAAGTTATATGGAAGTGTTCTGAAGAGTATATAGTACTATATAAATATCTATTCCCTCTTTATCTCAAAAGACAGTAGATTACCACCCTTTGTTTCTTCATCCATTGGAAGACTTTTACTCAGTCTTGTTTCCATGGATTACCCCAGTATTCTTTTCTCCAGGCTGGACATTACAGATTTCCACTTTGTCTTAAAGCTTTAATTCTTCATCCTTTTTCATGGCTAGGTTTTCTAAGATATACACATCTGCACAGGAATATTAGCCTGTGCAAACATGTCTAGACATACACACACTTTTTATATACTGGGACCCTGCCTTTGTATTCCAGAACCCATGCTATCACTGCATTCCTCTCCCCCACAATTCCTACAACACTTAGGTTCTTCCTATCACATCCAACTCCAGGGATTTGGAGACATTTCCAAATGTTAATCAAACCAAAGAATTAAAAATGAGATTGGCCAAAGATCATTGGAGGGGCACATAATAGGTATGAGCAGTCTTCAACACATTACAAATGAAGGAGTGTGTTCAGTGGAAAGGACACTAGATTTGGAGTTAGTGGGATCACTGTATGTCCCAGTTCTACTAAGTACTACCTGTATGACATATGGCTAAGACACTTAATCTTATCTGTAAAATTAGGGGGTTGAAGTAAATTACCTCTAAAGTTCCTTCTAGCTCTAACTATGATTCTAAACTAATTACCAAGGAGAAGTAGCATAAAGGTTGTTATCAAAAATTGCACGAGTGGAAAAAGGTGTAGTCATACGGCAAGAGTAAGGGATAACGCTGACAGCTATATTGGTATCTCTGTGACGTAAAAAAAAATTGAAACGGGCTCTTCAGCATAGTTGTGGACCCCTTGTGAGAGACACAGAAAAGAGTAGCACAGAATGGGCAAGTATGGTTTATGATTTGATCGTTGTAGAGGATGACTATATTCTTGAGATCACAGATCCATTTGAGTATTTTAAAATTTAATTGAATCATGGAGGAGAAAAAAACTGCCTATACTTAAGTGCCCAGCTTTTAGGTTTAGCCTTCTAATACCCTACCCCAACCCCTCCTTGCAATCATAGCCTTACTCTGTGGCCCTTAAGAATATATACAGAGTTCTGGGACATTTTCAAGACCTTTTCCCACCTTGCCTCAAAACTTGATTCTTTCCTTCCTCACCAGCTCTGTTTTTATGACTGGCAGTCCTTCCTCACCAGTTCTGTTTTTATGGCTGGCAGTCTTGTAGATCCTATCAGGATCTGGGTGAGTGAATCAAGCTACAGCTTCCCTAATGACTTTTCTTTGGCTAATGAATGTCCAATAGTGTAGTTCTGAGGTGGGGAACCTTTGCTCTCGAGGTCACGTGTGGCCTTCTAGGTCCTCTGGTACTGCCTTTTGACTGAGTCCAAGTTTTACAGAACAAAAATTTATTAAGGAGATTTGTTCTGTGAAGTTTGGATTCCATCAAAGGGCTACACTTGAGGACCTAGAGGGCCAC